ATTTGTTTGTTTATATTTTAATTCATTCTAAAGTTAGTGCTGATAGTATTTTTGTTATTAAAGCAATAATGCTAGGAATATCTACTATGATAGCATTAGCAGCTCCAGGTGATACGAGAAGGGTTAGTCGAGGAGATACGAGAATTATTAAGAGATCGAGGAAGGAGTTGATCGTGAACAAGTTGATCTCATATGCTGTTAGGGGTATAAGGCCGAATGTCACTTCCCGGCTGCCCACAACGTAGATGTGTTTTTTGAGGAACCTGAAAAGGAAGTTGGTTTAGAGTTGATTCTAGTGACCTGAGAGATTAACCGCAGGACCAAAGGGATAACTGCTTGATACCGGTAACGCTCGGCCTTTTTATGGGAAGATTTTGAAGTGTTATCTTCGTTCTTCAAAAGTTTTTACCATCAGAGACAGAAATCTATGACGTGAGGGTTGACCTTTTCAAACCCTTGAGAATATTTATTGTATAGTTGTCGTACCGAAACAGGAGAACGATAATCAGTGGAAGCACAACTAATTAATCTTGAAATATTTATATGTTTAACAATGTGATCATATAAATGCCTCCATCATACACATGAAGTAACTTTTCAAATTATCAAATAAATCAATATTACAAAAGAAACTTCATTTTTAAGTAAGGAATGTTTGTGATAATATTCAGTTGTTTACAATTTTTAATAGATGACCATTTGAGAAAGTATTAGTCTATAATATTTGTGTTCACCATACTGAAAACTAAATACATATTTTTAACGTTGCTTATACTAGTTATTACTAAATGTTGTAACCTTATGATGTTTGTAGCTGATAAAATGCCGCGAATTCGTTTGATTTCGCAAATCTTTTTCTTTTCCGCCTTCATTATTTTTATGTGCAAATGGTCTATAGATCTTACATTTGAATTCCATTGATTGCTACCCCGTCTATTTACTTGTCATTCATAGTTACATATGGAGGTCACATTAGAAGAGTATTGATCCATCTTTGATTGGCGTAAAGAATATTTAGTGTTATATACTGTAAACAGCTGAATTACATGGATGCTTGTTTTCAGTGTCACTTTGACTCTCTTATATCAATTTATACCTGAAATCTCATTCTGTGTGAATACAAGTTGAATGAAGACAGGCTTTTTCACTATGATTGGCTTTTCCAGACTTTCCGTTAAAACTTTTCTCATTTTAAAGAATAAGTTTCTTTGAATATTCATTTATTCTGAGAGACTTTTCAATGTATACCATTTGTTTATTTGCCGAACACAACCTTAGAGCTCTAATAAATAGGATTTTAAGTAAACAGGGTTTGTAATCAACAGGAAGAAAACTTACTATTTATTTACACCTGTTACCCCCAATGGAGCATAGGCCGAACACCGGTTCTCGCCAACCAACTCTATCCTAGGCTTCCCTTTCCAGTTCTGTCCGATTTTTGTTCATTCCTCTCATATCTTTCTCCATTTCTCGGCGTAATGTGTTCCTCGGCCTTCCTCTTTCCCTTTTTCCCGTCAGGGGTCCATGTGAGGGCTTGTCTTGTGATGCAGTTAGGTGCTTTTCGTAGTGTGTCCTATCCACTTCCACCGCTTCTTCCTGATTTCCTCCTCCACTGAAATCTGGTTTGTTCTCTCCCACAGTTCGTTGTTGCTGATAGTGTCTGGCCAACGAATCCGAAGTATTTTGCGAAAACAACTGCTAATAAACGCTTTTATCTTCTGGATGATGGCTTTGGTAGTTCTCCATGTTTCCGCTCTATACAGTAGAACTGTCTTCACATTTCTATTGAAAATCGTGATTTTGGTTTTGGTTGAAAGTTGTTTGGAGTTCTAGATATTTTTCAACTGTAGAAATGCAGCCCTTGCTTTGCCGATCCGTGCCCTCACATTTGCATCGGATCCACCTTGGTTGTCGATAATGCTGCCCAGATATGTAAAGGTGTTAACGTCCTCCAAGGCATCTCCCTCAAGAGTAGGAAAAAAACTAGTATCGTTTAATTACCGCTGCGTTCATGGTTTTTTTTGTGAATATGCTCTTCTTGACTGTTCCATTGTTCCACTGTCATTTTATTTTTTAAGCCTAGATAATTAATTTGATCATAATAATTATATTTCATAACAAAATTTGTTTACACGTGGTTTTATAAGCATTATTCACATTATTACGTAAAAAAATAAACGTGTCATTAAACATCCTTACGATGTTTATAATTTAGTCAAGAATCAAGGATTGTTACACTTTAAAAACACATACTTAACTTTAATTCATACAACATCTTTTTTTAAAATAATTGGCCTACATTAAGTTATGTTTAGTATAATGAAAGCAAACATCACAATAATAAAATTGATCAAAAACGTGTTCTTTAAAACTACCAACTGAGAATAATTATTTTACGTAAGACTAATGTGTCTGTTCCAGTGATATTCAATAGTGGTAAAAATCGATCAACAACTTTAATCTAGAAAACGCTTTTAGTGAATTAAAAAAAATGGTCACTTTACTGTTATTGACTTTAAAACCCTTAACTTTGCCAACATAAAGAGTAATAGGTCCTCGATGATAAAAGCTTAAAGTCCACTTAAACTCACCTGTTCAGTTTGAACTAAGAAGAAATGTGGATGCTAAAGTTCACCGGTAGTTGCAATTGAAAGACATTGGAACTTTTAACTAAACCTATATATCGAGAAATATACTGAGGATCTATATATATACGTCCAGAAAATACATCAGAAATCAGTTCTGAATCATACAAGAAAAAAACCCTTACAAAAAAACATTATATCCAATGACTTAGTTGTCATTTGGATTCAAAAGCTAGTGCTTGAAGTGATAGATTTTGAGCTGAAGTTTTTGAGTAAATATCAACATTGAGATGAATGTGTACTACATTCATTCATCTGATAAGCCTCAAATAAAATGAAATAACAAGCTAAATAGATACCACTAACAGCCATAATACAAATTGACTAAAAAAATTACAAATCTTAAAACAGATTATTTTTTTTTACTACATTAGACTGAACTAATTTGATGCATCAAACTTTTATCATATTCAAAATTATTTTATTTTTTTTCTCATAAAACTTATTTGTTTCGGAATACTTTAGACTGGCATTATAAAATAATTTTTTTTTTGATAAGAAACTAATTAGTTTAAGGTTGATAAATCAACAACAACAACAACTTGTATATACATATATTAGATAATTTAACTATTTTCTAGATCAAACGTAAATATTAAGTAATAACAAAAAACTACGTAAACTAATGTTGAAACAACAAAGTAATCAGTTTTTAATTAGTGAATTATTATAATAAAATACGGTTGATTAGTGACGCTACTTAAATATATTTTGTAAGTATGCATCTTTTATTTTTTTTTATAAAAACCGAATCTCTGATTATGATGTGATAATTTTGGTTACCAACGCTTTCAGCAAAAATTAGCTTGATAATTTAAAGTTTTCTATTCCATTCAGTTTTTTCAACTGTTGCACCAATTTACAGTGATGTAATCACATTTTGTTGATAAGTTTTTTTTTTTTTCAATAGAATACTATCGCATTATAGGATTGTTGAGATTTTTGAGTTACTTTTTCAAATTATGATCCGATCAGTGTTAAACTACCATTAAAAACCTGTAAGCACCGGCCAACCGTTTCGTCCTGGTATGGGACTCAACAACAGTGTGCATCCACGACTCCTGTACCTCATAAGGTTCAAACCCAGGACCTTTGGTCTTGCACGCAAACGCTGAACCTCTGGACCACTTAGCCAGTATCTAACGGTGTTACTGTCTAACTTCAGTCAATTCACAGTCTTGCTCAACCTCACACATACACTATCTTCAGTGAGCACTGCTTCACATCCGAACAGGATTGATCTCCACTGGTCACAACTTCTTACTAGAACTCCGAGAAGAGTTAGTCACAGAGTTAGTCATTAGTGAGCACAGGTAATTTGCATTTATTGGGTTGTTTGGAGATTGTTGAGTTACTTTGTCAAATCATGATTTCAATAAATAAAAATAATATCACCTTTATTGAAATCTTATTGCCATCTACTGACACTTATGTATATATATATTATCAAAATATGAAAACAAACTAGATCGATACAACTTACAACTCCCATAATATATTTGCAGTCTAGTTAACATGATGATGAAGAAGTAAAACTTACCCATATTCATCTTAACCTTATTCTAATGATTCCATAAAGCTGAATATTATTACGGTAGGAAAAAAAATTATAAATTTTTCCCAATTAGAGTTATGGAGATCAATGTTTCTATACAGTGAAATCATTAGTCAATCAATCATTGTTAGGCGTTCACGGGCAAGACCCAATGTCCTGGGTTCGAACCTTGTGAGGTACAGGTGTCGTGGATGCGCACTACTGATGAATCCCATACCAGGAAGAAACGGCCATCAGGTGCTTCCAGGTTTCTTCTAATGGTAGTCTAACAATGATTGATTGATTGATGATTTCAATGTGTAAAAAGTATTAATTATTGGATAAAATATATATCATCAAAATTAAGCTGATCTTAATCGATAAGCGAGTTTATTGATTGGTCAATCAATTTTTGATTATTATTATTATACAAATATTTCATTCAATCGGATTTACACAATCTATACACGTGTATGTTGTTGTTACAAAAGCCAATGTACCAAAGTAGAAAAAAAATCAATAACGAAAATTTCCATAATAACAACTATTTGATGATAAAGTAAATTTCCGTTTAAAATATAAAATTAAACATAAGACAATTATTTTATTACACACAAGAACCATATTTTAATATATAGATAGATATACATGTATATGTATAGAAATTGTCAATATTTATTAGTTGTTTTCAATGAATGAAGTACAAATTTGAGTATTATTTCTTTAGTAGATAAAGAAAAAGTAATACTCGCTCTTTCTCTCTCTCTCTGTCTCACTCTCTAATCCATCAGAAAAGAAAAACAAAAGGGGGGAGGGGAACATTAATTGGATGTGTTTGTTTGTGATATTTCTAATGCTTCCCATAAAGCATTGATATTATTTTCACCGAAACCAGTTGATTGATTACAACGTTCAATTAATTCAATGAAAAAGCCATCTTTTTGAAATAATGGTTCAGTAAATATTTGTAATAGACTTCTAATAATTGTAAAAAAAAAAAGAAAAAGGGATTGGAAAAATAGAGAAGAATGAAAATTAAAATACAACAGCTGGACTTACTTATCTATTGTAATTTCAATAATATAGACTACAAAAATTGTCGACTACCTGGTTGGGGTCCACGAGATGATAATAATCGATGGTTAGAGAGAGACCTTGAATGACATGGCTCAAAATCGTTCGCAATGGCGCCGGTACATTTATTCTTTGTGTTCTCTCTTAAATCCTAATCTTCTGGATTCTTCAACACCTCTAGTTTTGACTTTCTAAACTTTTCTCATTGAATCATACTTCTTGAATCATATCTTCTCATCCTAACCTCTTCGATTACTTCTAATTCCCTTACTACCTCTACTACTACTATTGGATTTGAATTGACAATTATATCTCTGTGCTGATGTGGTATGGCGACATGAACTGATGTACTTTTACGTAGCAAATTCTACGTTGCATCTGACTGACTGACTGACTGAAAAAGTGACATAACCCGCCTCTAATAATATTAAATCCGAAATTTCGCAAACAATTGTCTTCCTTTCTCACAGTATACATAAGTTTTGTAAGTTTAAATAGTGCTTATTTTCTATCCTGTATGCTTATACTATCCTTAGATCAATTACATATGCAATTTTGTAAATATAACAAACACTTAAACATGATTAACCCATTTAGTAACAACATTTTTCACTTTCACAAAAAAGCCTAACCTAACTCTTACAAACACCAAAAACTGTTGACAAATAGGCATAAACTACTAACGTAAACACAATAAAATTTCAAATTGATTTTAAGTTTTTTTTAGCGAGTTAGTTTTTTATGGAATAAGGTCGCCAACCCTATGCCCAAACCTTCCACCTTTAACCGGGGCTTAGGACCGGCAATAGCCCTAGAGGGGTTCCAGGCGGAGTTCTATTCCACGGTTCAAAGCTACTAATAAAACTCAAATTCATGCACCCTGGAAAGTCACCATCATGTGACAATTATTCTCCCAGGACAGAGTAGGTTGGAGAAAACTGGTCGGCGCGGCGGCCTATGCTCCATTGGGGGTGACAGGCGTAAGTCACTACAAAATTTTCTTAAAATAAACAATAGTAAATATATTTGCTTTTATTTATTTACAAGATTTGAATAATAATAATACCAGTTAGTTTGAGCACTATTTATAACAAAACCTATTGATAATATTGAATAATAATAAGTAGTATAATAAGATTGGTTTAAATGGACAGAATTAGTCCAATGCAGATGACGAAATAACATAATGACTAAATACTCCAGATTGACCAATCCACCTTGAACTAAATCTTTGCATGAACGAACAAGTTAATGATGATACCTCAAGAATGTTTAGATTGACTTAGGTAGCAGAAGCGTTTAAATCTGGAAAACAATATTTAAAACTTAAAAATTTTTTTTAACAATTCATCCTTTCAAAAGTTTGGTAATACATTAAATAAATAAATTTGGTTTATGATATTCACTTACCCTATTTGATTACCATTATTGTCTAATTCTTTATCAACAAGGATACCAGTGGTTTTAAGTTTTTCTAAATCCAAAGAAATTTCTTTCAAATTGATACGTTTAGATAACTGAAATAGAAATTTTATTTAAAATTACTTAATGTTACTACTTTAGAATAAAATAAATAGTAATGATGATAAAAATTGTCTACGATATGAAAGAAAATAATACTTGATTTAAATTGAATCCAATTAGAACTTGATAAGTTCGTCACTTAGTATGCTTGAGGCTATTACTGTTGTGAATGAGAACACAGGTGGGGGCAACCGAATTGTATTTAACGAAAATTACAGAGTTACTCAGTAAAATCGGAAAACCATATCGTAAATCGTTCATTTGCAAAAGATCAGTTCATCCTATCGAACTGGACTGTTCCTGTTGCCAAACATCAATCCATTGTCACTATTCATGCGTTTCATACAAATTCCATTGTTTTCTAACTCTTCCTTTCTTGATCTTCCCCCCATATTATGCTACCAGACTTTACGTTGACACTCACGTTATATACTACTTATAAGTAGTTCGCACCACAGCACCACATTACGAGTTTACCTTAGTCGATAAACGCGAACGAGACAATAAACCAGCGTCCAGGTAGGCTACCTTGAATACCCAAAGTCGAAATAAAAGGCTTTGTAAGCGTAGAAGTATATTCTACAAACACCCAGCGATCACAGTACAATCAAGCATACAACTCTTGTTTATTTATACAACATATTTCCCATTGACACTTTATTGATACACTTATTTTACTCCGATCGCCTTGGTCATCCAAACAGTGATTTAACTTCAAGAGTTGCTGATATTGAATTCGAGTTTTTTTTAAATACAACTTTGGTTTGATTTCACTTCGATGTTAAGCTATGATATTTGATTAGACGATGAGTATCGGTTTATATATATATATATATATATATATATATATATATATATATATATATTATTGTGTAGTCAAATAGATTATCTACTTTACTCTTGTCTCCTTGGTCAAATAATCATTTTGTGAGGTTAACGAGTATTGTGTTCAGATTTAGAACACCGTACATCACAACCATGAGCATGTATTGTAATGATGTGAAAAAAAAAGTTTGTACCAGTATGTTCAGTCATTTGTATCAATATTAGTATGCAGAGAAATCCTTCAAAAAGTAACTAACAACGACCAATAATGATTCCATGAATAATTGGATGGTCGACATTTTGTTTACCCATACCCACATACCTAGCTGCATACATTAAGCTCTGTGAGATGATGCATTGGCGAGACAGTTATTGGATTGATCTTAGAAATTGAAATTTACATGAATCAACTAACTTATTCCATTAATAAAAACACACTAAACAGTTACGTGTATCAATTGAACAATCAATAACATTTAACTACTTTTAGTTAACTACTAAGTAAAGTATTATTACTTTTTTTTTATTACATAATCTTGTATGAATCAATTCAATTGTAAGTCTATTATTTTAGCCTAAAGTTATCCGGTAAGTTTATTTAATAATACACTAAAATTCCATAGGATCAACCAAACTTTCACCTTAGTGATGTCTGACTCCTCCACGGTGTATATGGTGTTTAGTTCTATTTTGTAATATTCACTTGACAGTTTAGAGACGATCATCATTTGCTTACATTGTATAATCTTTCCAATTGTTCAGTAATCAAGTGATCATCGTTTTTCATATTAATCTCTTTCATGAAAATTCAATTAAAAATATCATTGATATTTAATAACACTATTCATCCCAATTACGCTAAACATTGAATGATCGAGAATTTCTATACTTCGATAATGACATAATTCATCTGTTTGTTTATATTTTAATTCATTCTAAAGTTAGTGCTGATAGTATTTTTGTTATTACCACAATAATGCTAGGAATATCTACTACCTTAGCAATAGCAGCGCCAGGTAATACGAGAAGGGTTAGTCGAGGAGGTACGAGAATTATTAAGAGGTGGAGGAAGGAGTTGATCATGAACAAGTTGATCTCATATGCTGTTAGGGGTATAAGGCTGCCCAGATCTTGGATGTGCTTCTTGAAGAACCTGAAAAGGAAGTTAGGTTAGAGTTGATTTTAGTGACCTGAGAGATTAACCGCAGAACTAAAGGGATAACTGCTTGAAACCGGTTACGCTCGGCCTTTTTTATGGGAAGATTTTGAAGTCTTATCTCTGTTCTTCAAAAGTTTTTACTATCAGAGACAGAAATCTATGAAGTAAGGGTTGACCTTTTCTAACCTTTGAGAATATTTATTGTATAGTTGTCGTACTGAAACAGGAGAACGATTATCAGTGGAAGCACAACTAATTAATGTTGAAATATTTATATGTTTAACAATGTGATCATATAAATGCCTCCATCATACACATGAAGTAACTTTTCAAATTATCAAATAAATCAGTATTACAAAAGAAACTTCATTTTTAAGTAAGGAATGTTTGTGATAATATTCAGTTGTTTACAATTTTTAATAGATGACCATTTGAGAAAGTATTAGTCTATAATATTTGTATTCACCATACTGAAAACTAAATACATATTTTTAACGTTGCTTATACTAGTTATTACTAAATGTTGTAACCTTATGATGTTTGTAGCTGATAAAATGCCGCGAATTCGTTTGATTTCGCAAATCTTTTTCTTTTCCGCCTTCATTATTTTTATGTGCAAATGGTCTATAGATCTTACATTTGAATTCCATTGATTGCTACCCCGTCTATTAACTGGTCATTCATAGTTACATATGGAGGTCACATTAGAAGAGTATTGATCCATCTTTGATTGGCGTAAAGAATATTTAGTGTTATATACTGTAAACAGCTGAATTACATGGATGCTTGTTTTCAGTGTCACTTTGACTCTCTTATATTAATTTATACCTGAAATCTCATCCTGTGTGAATACAAGTTGAATGAAGACAGACTTTTTCACTATGATTGGCTTTTCCAGACTTTCCGTTAAAACTTTTCTCATTTTAGAGAATAAGTTTCTTTAAATATTCATTCATTCTAAGAGACTTTGCCAATCCGCGCCCTCATATCTGTATTAGATGCACCTTGGTTGTCGATGATGCTGCCCAGATATGTAAAGGTGTTAACGTCCTCCAAGGCATCTCCATCAAGAGTAGGAAGAAAACTAGTATCCTTTAATTACTGCTGCGTCCATGGTTTTTTTTGTGAATATGCTCATCTTGACTGTTCCATTGTTCCACTGTCATTTTATTTTTTAGGCCTAGATAGCTAAGTTGATCATAGCAAAATTTGTTTACACGTGGTTTTATAAGCATTATTCACATTATTACGTAAAAAAATAAACGTGTCATTAAACATCCTTACGATGTTTATAATTTAGTCAAGAATCAAGGATTGTTACACTTTAAAAAAAAACATACTTAACTTTAATTCATAAAACATCTTTTTTTTTAAATAATTGGCCTACATTAAGTTATGTTTAGTATAATGAAAGCTAACATCACGACATGTTTTTTAAAACTACCAACTGAGATCGATTATTTTACGCAAGACTAATGTGTTTGTTCCAGTGATATTCAATAGTGGTAAAAATCTAGAAAACGCTTTTAGTGAATTAAAAAATGGTCACTTTACTGTATTGACTTTAAAACCCTTAACTTTGCCAACATAAAGAGTAATAGGTCCTCGATGATAAAAGCTTAAAGTCCACTTAAACTCACCTGATCAGTTTGAACTAAGAAGAAATGTGCATGCTAAAGTTCAGCGGTAGTTGCAATCGAAAGACACTGAAACTTTTAACTAAACCTATATATCGAGAAATATACTGAGGATCTATATATATACGTCCAGAAAATACATCAGAAATCAGTTCTGAATCATACAAGAAAAAATCCTTACAAAAAAACATTATATCCAATGACTTAGTTGTCATTTGGATTCAAAAGCTAGTGCTTGAAGTGATAGATTTTGAGCTGAAGTAAATATCAACATTGAGATGAATGTGTACTAGATTCATTCATCTGACAAGCCTCAAATAAAATGAAATAACAAGCTAAATAGATACCACTAACAGCCAGAATACAAATTGACTAAAAAAATTACAAATCTTAAGACAGATTATTTTTTTTTACTACATTAGACTGAACTAATTTGATGCATCAAACTTTTATCATATTCAAAATTATTTTATTTTTTTCTCATAAAACTTATTTGTTTCGGAATACTTTAGACTAGCATTATAAAATAATTTTTTTTTGATAAGAAACTAATTAGTTTAAGGTTGATAAATCAAAAACAACAACAACTTGTATATACATATATTAGATAATTTAACTATTTTCTAGATCGAACATAAATATTAAATAATCACAAATAACAAAAAAAGCTACCTAAACTAATGTTGAAACAAAGTAATCAGTTTTTAATTAGTGAATTATTATAATAAAATACGGTTGATTAGTGACGCTACTTAAATATATTTTGTAAGTATGCATCTTTTTTTTTTATAAAAACCGAATCTCTGATTATGATGTGATAATTTTGGTTACCAACGCTTTCAGCAAAAATTAGCTTGATAATTTAAAGTATTCTATTCCATTCATTTTTTTTTCACCTGTTGCACCAATTTACAGTGATGTAATCACATTTTGTTGATAAGTTTTTTTTTCCAATTATGGGGTTGTAGAGATTGTGGAGTTACTTTTTCAAATCATGATTCGATCAGTGTTAAACTACCATTAGGAATCTGTAAGCACCGGACAACCGTTTCGTCCTGGTATGGGACTCAACAACAGTGTGCATCCATGACTCCTGTACCTCATACGGTTCAAACCCAGGACCTTTGGTCTTGCACGCAAACGCTGAACCTCTGGACCACTTAGCCAGTATCTAACGGTGTTAATGTCTAACTTCAGTCAATTCACAGTCTTGCTCAACCTCATACATACACTGTCATCAGTGAGCACTGCTTCACATCCGAACAGGATTGATCTCCACTGGTCACAACTTCTTACTAGAACTCCGAGAAGAGTTAGTCACAGAGTTAGTCATTAGTGAGCACAGGTAATTTGCATTTATTGGGTTGTTTGGAGATTGTTGAGTTACTTTGTCAAATCATGATTTCAATAAATAAAAATAATATCACCTTTATTGAAATCTTATTGCCATCTACTGACACTTATGTATATATATATTATCAAAATATGAAAACAAACTAGATCGATACAACTTACAACTCCCATAATATATTTGCAGTCTAGTTAACATGATGATGAAGAAGTAAAACTTACCCATATTCATCTTAACCTTATTCTAATGATTCCATAAAGCTGAATATTATTACGGTAGGAAAAAAAAATTATAAATTTTTCCCAATTAGAGTTATGGAGATCAATGTTTCTATACAGTGAAATCATTAGTCAATCAATCATTGTTAGGTGTTCACGGGCAAGACCCAATGTCCTGGGTTCGAACCTTGTGAGGTACAGGTGTCGTGGATGCGCACTACTGATGAATCCCATACCAGGAAGAAACGGCCATCAGGTGCTTCCAGGTTTCTTCTAATGGTAGTCTAACAATGATTGACTGATTGATGATTTCAATGTGTAAAAACTATTAATTATTGGATAAAATATATATCATCAAAATTAAGCTGATCTTAATCGATAAGCGAGTTTATTGATTGGTCAATCAATTTTTGATTATTATTATTATACAAATATTTCATTCAATCGGATTTACACAATCTATACACGTGTATGTTGTTGTTACAAAAGCCAATGTACCAAAGAAGAAAAAAAATCAATAACGAAAATTTCCATAATAACAACTATTTGATGATAAAGTAAATTTCCGTTTAAAATATAAAATTAAACATAAGACAATTATTTTATTACACACAAGAACTATATTTTAATAAACAGATAGATATACATGTATATGTATAGAAATTGTCAATATTTATCAGTTGTTTTCAATGAATGAAGTACAAATTCGAGTATTATTTCTTCAGTAGATAAAGAAAATGTAATACTCGCTCTTCCTCTCTCTCTGCCTCACTCTTTAATCCACAAGAAAAGAAAAACAAAAGGGGGGAGGGGAACATTAATTAGATGTGTTTGTTTGTGATATTTCTAATGCTTCCCATAAAGCATTGATATTATTTTCACCAAAACCAGTTGATTGATTACAACGTTCAATTAATTCAATGAAAAAGCCATCTTTTTGAAATAATGGTTCAGTAAATATTTGTAATAGACTTCTAATATTTGTAAAAAAAAAAAAAGAAACAGGGATTGGAAAAATAGAGAAGAACGAAAATTAAAATACAACAACTAGACTTACTTATCTATTGTAGTTTCAATAATATAGACTACAAAAATTGTCGACTACCTGGTTGGAGTTCGCGAGATGATAATAATCGATGGTTAGAGACCTTGAATGACATGGCTCAAAATCGTTTGCAATGGCGCCGGTGCATTTATTCTTTGTGTTCTCTCAAATCCTAATCTTCTGGATTCTTCAACACCTCTAGTTTTGACTTTCTAAACTTTTATCATTTAACCATACTTCTTGAATCATATCTTCTAATCCTAACCTCTCCGATTACTTCTAATTCCCTTACTACCTCTACTGCTACTATTGGATTTGAATTGACAATTATATCTCTGTGCTGATGTGGTATGGCAACATGAACTGATGTACTTTTACGTAGCAAATTCTACGTTGCATCTGACTGACTGACTGACTGAAAAAGTGACATAACCCGCCTCTAATAATATTAAATCCGAAATTTCGCAAACAATTGTCTTCCTTTCTCACAGTATACATAAGTTTTGTAAGTTTAAATAGTGCTTATTTTCTATCCTGTATGCTTATACTATCCTTAGATCAATTACATATGCAATTTTGTAAATATAACAAACACTTAAACATGATTAACCCATTTAGTAACAACATTTTTCACTTTCACAAAAAAGCCTAACCTAACTCTTACAAACACCAAAAACTGTTGACAAATAAGCATAAACTAGTAACGTAAACACAATAAAATTTCAAATCGATTTTAAGTTTTTTTTAGCGAGTTAGTTTTTTTACGGAATGAAGTCGCCAACCATATGTCCAAACCTTCCACCTTTAACCGGGGCTTAGGACCGGCAATAGCCCTAGAGGAGTTCCAGGCAGAGTTCTATTCCAGGGTTCAAAGCTACTAATAAAACAAAAATCCATGCACCCTGGAAAGTTACCATCATGTGACAATTATTCTCCCAGGACAGAGTAGGTTGGAGAAAACTGGTCGGCGCGGCGGCCTATGCTCCATTGGGGATGACAGGCGTAAGTAACTACAAAATTTTCTTAACATAAACAATAGTAAGTATATTTGCTTTTATTTATTTACAAGATTTGAGATAATATTGAATAATAATAAGTAGTATAATAAGATTGGTTTAACTGGACAGAATTAGTTTAGTGCAGATGACGAAATAACATAATGACTAAATACTCCAGATTGGCCAATCAACCTTGAACTAAATCTTTGCATGAACGAACAAGTTACTGATGATACTTCAAGAATGTTAAGATTGACTAAGGTAGCAGAAGGGTTTAAATCTGGAAAACAATATTTAAAACTTAAAAATTTTTTTTAACAATCCATCCTTTTAAAAGTTTGATAATACATTAAATAAATAAATAAATTTGGTTTATGCTGTTCACTTACCCTATTTGATTACCATTATTGTCTAATTCTTTATCTACAAGAATTCCAGTGGTTTTAAGTTTTTCTAAATCCAAAGAAATTTCTTTCAAATTGATACGTTTAGATAACTGAAATAGAAATTTTATTTAAAATTACTTTATGTTACTACTTTAAAATAAAATAAATAGTAATAATGATGATAATAATTGTCTACAATACGCAAGAAAATAATACTTGATTTAAATTGAATCCAATTAGAACTTGATAAGTTCATCACTTAGTAGGCTTGAGGCTATTACGAGTTTACCTTAGTCGATAAACGCGAACGAGATAATAAACCAGCGTCCAGGTAGGCTACCTTGAATACCCAAAGTCGAAATAAAAAGCTTTGTAAGCGTAGAAGTATATTCTACAAACACCCAGCAATCACAGTACAATCAAGCATACAACTCTCGTTTATTTATACAACATAAGAACGTCCTTGAGACAGTTAAGAAAATAGCACACTAAAATACACAGCAGCCAATCACAGCCATGGATTTTCCTGGTGGGAATTGAAATTTCAAGGTCAACTGATCAGCCCATGCTGGCGAACGTGAAAACCAAAATAAGGCATTATCAATCGAATTTCGGGGATCTAACATCCCTAACAGAACTATTATAAATTTGTGTGCTTAAAATATAACGACTAAATAGCTCAGTTGATTAGAATTAACATAAAGGAGGCCTAGTATAAATGTACATTGACTCATGTTTCAATACCATATAATAAGATCAACAAGTTTAAATTGACAGAAAAAACAATAGAGAAGTTGAAATAGGAAAATAATAAAATTCGGAAAACTGTGTATCTAGAGGTGATTGATTCTGACTTATATCACTCAAAGTCTATAACTATTGATTGTGGTTATTACATGGACCATGTTACTCACAGATCTATTTGACTGTTTTGAATATGACTATAAGTAAAGGCTTGTATTATGATTCTTATGGTTATAAAGTAAAGTAATGTTTTGTGTGAATACTTCAATTCACTTCAACTCAAAAGTAGTAGGGAAAAGTATTTACCAAGAAGCTTTGAGCCACACTGTTTATGTGAGTCAGGAATACCATAAGACTGTACCAACCAAAATAGGTTGTTGGGGTGTTCGAACCTGTGGTCGATTAATATTTTACACAGTAAGTCACTCTTCCACATAACTTTAGTACGTACTCCGCTAAACTGAGACTTTGAGTACAAAATTCATGTGCGGTTGATACATTAAGTCTTTATTGATACAATCTTAGTGGAAGTGTGTGTCGGTCAGTCAGTTAGATGCAACGTAGAACTTTGTACATAAGTACATCAGTTCATGTTGCCATACCACATCAGCACAGAGATGTAATTGTCAATTAAAATCCAATAGTAGAAGAGGTAGTAAAGGTATTAGAAGTAATCAGAGAGGTTAGGATGAGAAGATATTATTCAAGAAGTATGATTCAATCAGAAAAGTTTAGAAAGTCAAAAGTAGAGGGGTTGAAGAACCCAAAAGATTAGGATTTGAGAGAACACAAAGAATAAATGCACCGGCGCCATTGCGAACGATTTTGAGACATGTCATTCAAGGTCTCTAACCATCGATTATTATCATCTCGTGGACCCCAACCAGGTAGTCGACAATTACCGACATGGCTAAGTCCACTCTTCAATGACTTCATGGATTTCTGCCATGTTTTGGTTTGGCCGCCCCTAACTTTCTTCTAACGTATTCCTACACTACAAAACAAAGCTCTTCGAGGCAGTCGGTGGTTAGCATGTCAAATAACGAGCAGCATTGCCCAGCCAACCCTGTCTTGAGCTCACCTTTTCAGTAGTTCCGAATCTCTATACATTCTTCTGATGCCAGCTTCCGATACCCAGTGCAATATGTTCTTCGGTCTGACTGCTTTCTTGTTGCTTTGAAGATCCTAAGTTACGGCTTACCTCGCGACGTAATTGAGTGATGTGACTGATTCAATTTTTTGTAGTGTGATCCGGTGAAACTCTTGCAGCTCTGTATATACGTTTATCTGGGGATTCGGTGCCGCCTATAACCAGTTTGTTGAAGGCACATAGGTTTGCGAATCCCCCAATGTTTTCGTTCCTTTCTCCCAGTCCATGTCGTCCCATGATGTCTTCATATTCGGTGTTGTACATACCAACCATGGTGTTTAGGTCTCATAAAGACGACCAGATCCTTTCTCGATAATTTCTCTACAATTGACTGTAGCCTCTCATAAGATTGGTCTTTTTCGTCTTCATTGTTATCGTTCGTGTGTGCATCGCACTGGACCACATTCATTGTAATCCCACCATTTCGTGTGTTCAAGGATGCTTTGATGATACTGAGTCCACGAGATTTTCATCCTATGAGTATTTTCAGTGCTTTTTGAGACAGTATCAGTCAGTCAGTTACAACGTAGAACTTGTTACGCATATACATAAGTTTAAGATGTCATACCAATTTAACACACAGAGATCGAATTGTCAGTTCAAGTCTCATAGTAGTAGAGGTAGTAGATTAGCAGTAATGGCGAAGATTAGGGGTTGAAGATATGATTCGAGAAGCATATCCCGGTTAAATAAACTTACACGAAGGAAAAAAAGGAAAACGCGAGGCATTCAGAAGACTAGAATTCGACAGAATACAAAGAATGGATAAATCTGCGCCAGTGTAAACAGTATCAATGCAGCAGCTCCTGGTGTGTGATGCATTTTCTTCTTCATGATCGGAGTACAATAGCATCTCTCCTGAAACTAATCTTTCTTGTCCAGCTTGTGTCCGATGGGTTTCACATATCCCATGCACCTCCAGCTTGTATCTTCACAGTTCCTCAGTAGCTTGAATAACTCTCCCGACCTCTCACACCGTGAGAATATTCCGTGTGCCTATCTCATTTGTTGTGAGAAGGGGCATCGGTCTCGTGATTCCCAAAGAAACTCGGCTATTCTATGAGGCGCCATAAGTCTTCTTGATGAGGACCCCAAAGCTCTCAGGACAAAGTTTAAATTGTTTCTTCTGGTTAGCATTTTCTTAGCAAGTTTATTTGTACGAGATGGGATGGCTAACCCTATCCCCAACCCTCCTCCTTTATCCAGGCTTGGCTCAAGTAAAAACCCTAGAAGTAGCGGTAATGAATTTCTAACTTAAAAACTGAGCTGATCAATAACTTGATCACTTGGTGATTTTCAGTTAACACATTTTATGTTTATATTTATTTTGATTGATGTGATTAACACGCAGATTAGATCAATCCGTATTCAAGAAACTTTAGTCAGTACCTGATTAAACGGTCTTCTGACTACCCTAAGCAACAATGCAAGCATGTTCGGGATGCGGTTTTCCTCCTCGAAATGCAGAATGTTGCTTCAAGATTGGGTTTCATCAGCACCTGAACTAGTGATAGGTAGTGAAGTAGTCGAACGTGTTGACCGCTTCACTTATCTCGGGAGTCTCATCAGTGCTGATGGCCTGGTGAATGACGAAATCTCAGCACGGATACAGAAGGCTCGATTGGCTTTTGCCAACCTGCGTCACTTGTGGCACAGGCGAGATATCCGTTTGCTGACTAAAGGACGAGTGTACTGAGCAGTAGTTCGCTCCGTCTTACTTTATGGCTGTGAAACATGGTCAGTGAGAGTAGAAGATATTCGTAGGTTACTGGTTTTCGATCATAGGTGTATCTGCAGCATTGCTCGTATATCGTGGGACACCCGAATGAGCAACGCTGATATTAGGAATCGGGTGCTAGGTAAGAATGGCAGATCAATAGATGAAGTGGTGAAACTTCATCAGTTGAGGTGGTTGGGACATGTGTTGCGTATGCCTAACCACCGACTGCCTCGAAGAGCTTTGTTTTGTAGTGTAGGAATACGTTAGAAGAAAGTTAGGGGCGGCCAAACCAAAACATGGCAGAAATCCATGAAGTCATTGAAGAGTGGACTTAGCCATGTCGGTAGTTGTCGACTACCTGGTTGGGGTTCGCGAGATGATAATAATCGATGGTTAGAGACCCTGAATGACATGTCTCAAAATCGTTTGCAATGGCGCCGGTGCATTTATTCTTTGTGTTCTCTCAAATCCTAATCTTCTGGATTCTTCAACACCTCTAGTTTTGACTTTCTAAAGTTTTCTCATCAAATCATACTTCTTGAATAATATCTTCTCATCCTAACCTCTCCGATTACTCCTAATACCTTCACTACCTCTTCTACTATTGGATTTGAATTGACAATTACATCTCTGTGCTGACATGGTATGGCGACATGAACTGATGAGCTTACGTACGATGTTCTACGTTGCAACTGACTGACTGACTGATTATGTACTTATTCGACATACTACAATGTTAACAAATATTAATAAAATGGAAGTTGTGAAATTCATCTTCAAAGCAACTTACAGTTTCATAATAAACATTTGGAGCAGTGATAAACTTTACACCATTCTGACAACATGTAGCTGCTACATCTGTGATGTTATCAACAGCGAATCCAATGTGTTGTAAGCCTGGACCTGAGTTAGCTTGTATAAATCGTGTTACTTGATTAGGTTCTAAAGTAATTTTTTTTTTAAAAAAAAAAGACAATTCCAATTAATAAATTAGGTGTACACAAAGGTGAATTTTCACTTACATGAAATGATTTATAAAACAAACATACGGAATTGTGCATCTTTCAGATTTTTATGAGCCTGTATAATCGATTTGAATATAAGATTAAAAATAGCAAGTGTCAAATGCTAATCAACCATGTTACGAGTCATTCACAGAAAATATAAAGCCTCAACATATATATATGTATATTTGTAAACGCCCGATTTGCCACACCTCAAATCAGCACAATGCAAAATTAAACTTAAAAATGTTAAATATGAATGAAGCTAATAATGTCAATTGAAGTAGAAACTCAATATAAAACATGTCATTCAAAAGAAACAAATTAGAAAGAATAATGAAATGGCATTAAACTTATGATTCATAACAAGAGAACACATGAATAAAAACGGAGCTACCGTAACCGAATTTCAAGTTATAACATCTAAATTTTTCCTCCAAACAGACCTTACAATTAATGAGCCATTACTAAATGAGAACTATACATTTACTAATGTAACTTAGTTCAACAGTAGATGACTTTATGAACTGATGTTAACATTTTGCACTATTCATCCATAAGAAATTTTTCAATCTAATCTTACGTCAGTCTGATAGTAAATCTTTGGTAACTGAATGAGAACATGTACACATAGAATTTTGATGAACATGTTAATTCCGGTCACCACTATGGACAAGCTGGTTTAATATTGTACAAGTAACCCAAAAAGGCGTTACAACATATAAAAACTTAGTGTTATTGTGTAGCTGAAAAGGGTTTTTTTCAAACGATCAGAAGGAACAGAAAATTTCTTTTGAAATAAAAAGACTTTTGTCACACAGGATATAAAAACTTTAAACTATGGCCTGAACGAGGGGCAAACAAGTATATTCATTACACCGTAGAAATAATAAAAGCACTTATTTAATTTTTAATATTATTTCATGGTAATAATAACAGACTTATTACGACTGACCAAAACCTTGTATTATATTTAGAAACCTACTGGTGTTGTAACAAATATAAGCATTATAGACAGACCGACAGGCAGACAGACAGATACAACGCAGAATTTCATACGTAAGTACATCAGTTCAGGTTGCCATACCACATCAGCACAGAGAAGCAACTGTCAATTCAAATCCAAGAGTGATTGCGACAGTAGAAGTATTAGTAGTAATGAGGAAGATTAGGAAGAGAAGATATGATTCGAGAAGTATAATTCAGTGAGATAAATTTAGAAGGAGTAAGATAGAGATGATGAGGAATTCAGAAGGTTAGAATTAGAGAGAACACAAAGAGTGGATGCACCTGCGCTATTGCGAACGATTTTGAGCCATGTCGTTCAAGGTCTCTAACCATCGGTGACTTTCGTCTCGCGGACCCAAACCAGGTAGCCAACATCTAGCTACACGACTCAATCCACTAGTCAGTGACTTCATGGATTTCTGCTGTTTCGGTTTGGCCGCGCCTAGCTTTCTTTCAACCTACTCCTACACCACAAAATATAGCTCGTCGAGGTAGTCGGTAGTTAGGCATACGTAACATATGTCCCAACCACCTCAACTGATGAAGCATTACTGTAAACTTTTAAACTTTAATCCTTGTAATGTTGCAAAAGTTGAGTTCATTCAAGTTTAGATTTTGTTTATTATTTTTTTACTATACAATACTACAGATACTGTGGTATTTGTACATGTAACTGCATTTTTCATGCGACTAAAAAAAAACTTTACTGAAAGTCCCATTGTCAAATTTACTTATTCAAACGTTGAAGTATTTAACCATTTGAACTAGCAAGTCACACTAAATCCATTTCATGTTACAATAGTCGCTAACTTTATCGTTAGTTTTTACTGTCTAATCAATTAATCCATTTATACAATACATAAATTATACACATTTGAAATCATCAATCAATCATTGTTAGACTACCACCATTAGAAGAAACCTGGAAGCACTGGACGGTCGTTTCGTCCTGGTATCGGACTCATCAGTGGCTGTGCGCACCCATGACTCCTGCACCTCGCAGGAGTCGAACCCGGGACCTTCTGTGTTGTGCGCGAACGCCTAACCATCGGACCACTGGGCCGGCATCCAACGGTGTTAATACCTAACTCTGATTGATCTAGGGATTTTGCGCGACCTCACCCATTTGTCTTTGCTAGTTACTGCCTACACCCAACAGGATTGAACTCCATTGGTCACGTCTTCTCAACTAAAACTCCGATAATTTCCTCACCAAACCAGTCACTAGTGAGCACTGTTACGATATTTCGGGGCAGAGTTTTTTGGAGGTTTGTGTTTTTTACACACTTGAAATCATCAATCAATCATTGTTAGACCACCATTGGAAGAAACCTGGAAGCACTGGACGGCCGTTTTGTCCTGGCATGGAACTCATCAGCAGTGCGCATCCATGACATAAATTATAACAAAATTAAGTAAGCCATTCGTACGGAAATACACTTGGAACATTTGGTTTTGGTTAAAGATTACAAAGAATAGATTTTATAATGAAAATCACCAAATTTTCTTATTCATATCCTAAAGCTGTTATGTAAAAATAGATATAGAAAATATATTTTTTTCAAAAAAAAGAAGAAGTGAAAGTCTACAATGAAAATTCCATCAATGAAACTCCAAATAAGAAATGAAAACATGAACTTTATTGCAATTGATTATGAATAATATCACTTAAAGATTCCAAAAGCTATTGTTCATTAAGTTTAAAAGATGGATGAAAACTTTTAAAAAAAAGATTTGTTGATCACTCCCATGCAAAGGAGTTTTTGGAACTGTTTGTCAAATATTAAAGTATTAAAGTATTTGAAAATCAATTGCAATATGAATAGTATGACAGTTTCAACTAATTTTATTATCACGAAAAGCCTACTTATTTTTACGTACGCGAATTACCCTTAGTGGAATATAGGCCGCCGACTAGCATTCACTAACCTACTCTACCCTGGGAGTTCTTTTCATGTCCGTCTCCGATTCACAATGGAATGTATTATTTGGTGTTCCTTTTCTCCTTTTAGATTTGAAGATTCCAAGTGAGGGCTTGTATTGTGATGCGATTGGGTGATTTCCTCAATGTGTGTGTCTTATCCACATCCACCGCTTCTTCCTGATTTCCTCCTCCACTAGAATCTGGTTTGTTTCATCGCATAGTAGGTTGTTGCTGACAGTGTCTGGTCAACGGATCCAAAGTATTTTGCGTCGATAACTGTTAATAAACACTTGTATCTTCTGGATGATGGCTTTCGTGGTGCGCCAAGTTCCCGCCCCAAACAGTAGAACTGTCTGACATTTGTATTGAAAATTCTAATTTTGGTGTTGGTTGATAGTTGTTTTGAGTACAAGATATTTTTCAATTGTAGAAATGCTGCCCTTGGTTTACCGATCCGCGCCCTTACATCTACATTAGATCCACCTTGCTCGTCATTGATGCTGCCTAGATACGTAAAGGTCTTTACATCCTCCAAAGCTTCTCTATAAAGTGCGATCTGGTTACTGCATGTTGTATTGTATCAAAGGTTTTTGCCTTTTCCTTTGTTTATGTTGAGACCTTCTGCTGCAGAGGATGATGCTAGACTGGTCATCTTCTCCTGCATTTGTTGTTCTGTGTGCGACAAAATAGCTAGATAATCTGCGAAGTTCAGATCGTCCAGCTTAATTTCAGCCATCCACTGTGTCCTGTACCTCCCCCCAGATACTGACGACATCACAATTCAGTCGACCACTGGGAGAAAAGAGATGGGACTAACCAATCTTACCTGACACCAGTCCTCACTTCGAATGAGTCCGTCAGGAGTCCTCCACGCACTATTTTGCAGTGTAGTCCATCGTATGATGTTGACTATCTTCTCGGGTGCGCCGTAGTCTCGAAGGAGCCTGCATGGGATCATCCTGCCCACGCTGTCAAATGCTTTCTCATATTCAATGAAGTTGATGTAGATTGGTGAATCCAAATCAATTGACTCTTCCACAATCATACGTAGTGTCGCTTTTTGATCGGTACATGATCTATCTTTACGGAATCCAGACTGTTGACCGCAAACCTATTGAATATTCCATTCGGTTTAACAACACTGTTGAAGAATTTTCTCGGTATTGAGAGAAGAGCGATGCCTATGTAGTTTTCACACTTGCTGTGGTCTCCTTTCTTCAGTATCTTGATCAGATGTCCATCTTTCCAGTCTTTTGGTATTTGTTCTTCCTTCCAAATCTTGCTGAATAGAGCGTGCTGCATTTTTACCGTAACCGTTATGTTTGCTGTCAGTGTCTCAGCTAGAATGTTGTCTAGTTCCGCTACTTTGCCGCTATTGATTTGCCTGATGGCCAATCAAGAAATCAAGTTCAAACAAATGAACAACTTTTATCCATTAATTCAATTTAATTATCATTGCAAAACTTGTCTCTTTACTGAATACATCTGAACGTACAAATAAAATAAATTGAATCTAAGGCATTAACAATATAAATACTGGCCAATTTCGAAAATTTAATGCATTTATACAACATACCTGAATTTCTCGTTGGTTCAACGAAGACAAATTTGCATGCATCATGACAATCAGAATTTGAAGTTGAATTCCTATGACAAACTGCTTTCAAGATCATTCCAGTATTTTTAAACTTTACTATAAACCCTTTGAATTCATCTTCTTGTCTGTTTTAGTGTCCATAAACAAGAATTATAAACTAATCATCAACTCACATATTAATGAACATACGCTCCATTCCAAATACTGTTTTGTACCACTTTATAAAATTATCTGAATCTCCAATTTCACCAGCAATTGCCACATGATCAATATATTTCACAAAAGAATCAGGATTTGATTGATCATTACTTAGTATTTCTGCTAAATCGTCATTTGTATTTGATTCTGGCAGTATGTATCCAGGCAAAAATAAGCCCTTATAGTGTGACGAGTCAATAATGGTATGAAGTAAATTGCCAACACATGACTTAATCACTCCTATAACAATTTTTCCATTATAATCAGTGTAAGTAGTAGGTTCCAAAAGAATATTATCAAACCCAGAAAATTGAGAAACTCTATCACAAACTTCATATACGTCACCTACCTCTAAAGCAATATCGAATGGTCCATCATGTTTCGTACACCAGTTACCGAATTCTGAATAGTGCTTAAGTGAGTGATGAACACTGGATAATGTTTGAGTTTTGCTTAGCATTATTAATGATTGGCCACTTTTTAGAACTAGATTTAATTCTGAACCGTGTTTGAGCAAACAATGGAACGTGAAACCGAAACCCTTTATTAGTGTATTACAGGTCTGCCATAAACTTTTGGTTGCAAATCGAACATGATGAACATTTTTCAGTAAACTCATGTTTTGTTTAGACCTAAAAAGAGTCGATCAGTAAAGGTGTAAAATAATTTAGAATATACGATTTTGAGTAAAAGTGTATAAGTAGTTAGTAAATTTGATGATTTCAAATGTGTAAAAACGCGAACCTCCAAAACTGTGCCCCAAAATTTAAAAAATGATTGAGAAAAATCTCAAAAAGTTTGGGCCAACAACCACTCAAAAGTTTCACGTTTAGTAAGAATAAACTGAGGCTCCCATTCATTATAGTATAACACAGCATGGAATAGACCAAGCTACCAAAGGACTATCTACGGTCTTGAGAACGACAAATCAATATTGAAGAGATTTGGCAACACAGATGTAGGTTTATCTCAATATTAATACGCTTGAATATACTACCACAAAAGTTATATGTTCATACTTGATTCGTTTGGTTTTATTCCGTTTGTTAACACAGCTATAGTATTCTATCATAGGTATCGTAGAAGCAGTGTTCGTAAATTCTGGGACCACCAAGTAAGCAATCCTGTTGTTAGTAAGCGGGTACTAAGCAAGAATGGCAAGTTATTTGGTAAAATAGTAGTGAACCTTCGTCAGTTGATGTGGTTGACACGTGTATTACGAATGTCTGATCACCGACTTCATCGGCGAGCGATGATGCCTCATGTAAGGGTAGGCTGGAAGAAAGCTAGGGCCGACCAAACCAACATTTGGCATAAATCTATGGAGGCATTGACAACTAGACTGTGCCATGTTGGTAAACGTAGACTACCTGGTTGGGGTCCGCGAGATAATCCTAACTGATGGTTAGAGACTTTGAAAATGACATGGCTCAAAGGCGTTTGCAAAGGAGCAGGTGCATCCACTCTTTGTGTTCTCTCAAATCCTAATCTTCCGAATTCCCCATCACCTTTATCTCTCTCTTTTTCTAAATGTGTCACTGGATTACACTTCTTGAGTAATTTTCTTGAACTCTAATCTCCCCGATTTAGTCAGTCAGTTAGTTACAACACAGAACTTCGTACATGAGCAGATAAGTTCAGGTTACCGCTAATAATTCTACTATATCTACTATTATGAGATTTGAACCGACAATTGAGTCTCTGTGCTAATGTGGTATGGGAACTTCAACTGATGTGTGTACGTACTTAGTTCTACGTTGTACCTGACTGTTAGCACAACTAAGTGAAAACATGGGGAAGATGCTCTATCGTTCCAAGCTCGGTAGACCACTATATTACATTCATATTCTTAGGTCGATTACTCATTGTAATTCTGATAATCGTATTTATCAAAAAAAATCCTGCAGTGATCTACATACTAATTATTTTGAAGGTCTGTCGAACAGCTCTTGAACGAGCGGATCTGTGAACAAATAATCAATAAATAGGAATTAAAAACCTTAATTAACACTAAGAAACTAACAAAACTAATGAGGTATATCCTAGATGTTATTCATAGCATTATGAAATATTCGTAATCGAAACTGCAAATACCATGGTGAGATTAACAGATAACCATGGAACGTGTACGGATTAATATATCAACAACTTAGTTAATAATACTGAAGGGATCAAGATCAAGCCAAGGAGGAATATATCAGAAAGAACAAAGGTCATTCTAGGCAGTTAGTTCTATAGTGGAACATTTATTACACTAAATAGGTGTAGTAGGATTCTGAAAAAGATAACACCAAACTAACACAACGTATTGTTTTTTTCGATCGATGCTCTCGAATAAAAACAAGGACAGTCGATTTCCAGAACCCAAGATCATTCTTCAAAAGATTGATTTCCGATTCTGCTAAATCCAGTTTCGGCGATAAAAGTGCATGTAGCAATCAATTAAATGGAAAGGCATATGAAATAAACAGATATAACACAAAACTTTAAGGTCTTTTATTCTTAAGATTTTAAACATTGAACACTTCAACAACACGGTTTTCGGAAGGACAACTCCTTAATCACCAATCTGCCGACAGTGGTGAACAGATGGACTACCATCCTCAATTCCAGCAGGAAGGTGGATGTGACGTACCCCGATTTTTAAAAAGCTTTCGATATAGCCAGTCACATGTATCTTACCGATAAGCTCAAGCTGAAAGGTATCAAAGTATAAACTAGTTCCACTGAGACATGTTACAACCAACTTAAGCGATTCCCTCTAAAAGTGTTGCAGGTTGAAAAGATATTATAGGCAACTCGGAGCTGACCTTTAAATGACTTGTAATATTCTAAACACTCCTCGATACCCTTTAAAATACATAACTAGGTCCAGCCTAACGCAAACCTAACAGACAGACAGACACAACACGTATGTACATCAGTTCAGGTTGCTATTCCGCAAACCTAAGGGGTAATACGAAGAAACCAGAGATACAATACGACATACTGAACTGTAGGCTCAACTATTCTTTAAAAATAGTCAAGTCCTGGGATTCTCTATGAGCTAAGATGGTTCAGGGAACTGCCTACGAGTCTTCCAAGCAAGTATAATTTGAACGGTATTTCATACTCATTTATCTAGGTCTCTATCTGGAGGCATCGCTGACACGCTGCTACTACATACAGAAAACTGTCAAACAAAAATATCTCCTATTCAGTCTACAACTATCGGAACCGTTTCGCATTAGTAAGGAGCCAAATCAAAGTACTAAAAAGTGTGAATCACGGTAAGTCAGTATAATTCATACACAAGTTTCATAAATATTAAACCATGAAACTTCTAAAGAGTTATTAGTCAGATGAGAGAACGAGGATTTTTAGAGATACTAAACACAAACAAATAAATGTTTCAAATGTTAGTGACGTTTAGGAAAAGCAAAAGTTGAAAAATGAAAATGACACTGAACAAATAACAAGCTCATTTTAGGATTTAATAACTTTGTTTTGTCAGTTAGTCAGTTACAACCTAGAACTTTGTACATGAGTAAATAAGTTCAAGTCGCCATACCACATCAGCACAGAGACGCAGCTGTCAGTTCAAATCCCATAGTGGTAGAGAAAGTAGGAGTATCAGCAGTAATGGAGATTAGGGCTTGAAGATATTCAGTCAGTCAGTCAGATACAACGTAGAACTTCGTAACTAAGTACATCAGTTCATGTTGCAATATCACTTGAAGATATGATTCGAGATAAATTTAGAAAGAGAAAGAGATGATCAGGAATTCAGAATGTTAGAATTTGAGAGAACACAAAGAATGGATGCACCTGCGCAATTGCGAACGATTCTGAGCCACGTCGCTCAAAGTCTCTAACCATTGGTGACTTTCGTCTAGCAGACCCCAACCAGGTAGCCTACATCTGTCAACATGACTCAGTCCACTTGTTAGTGATTTCATAGATTGTGTTTTGTGATTGTTTAAGAACCTAGTAAATGTACACAAACCATGGAAAGTACCTCCAAACCAGTGAAAGCTTGTTAAATGCTGGACAAAAATTACTTCTGCACAAAAATGTCCTTCCTACAACCCAGATGTTTTCATCTGCAAATACAAAACAGAGAATAGTCTGTCATTTTTTCTGGGCAAATTTTGAAGCTATTATAAAATCCGAACAGATCCTAAAAAGGTCATGAGTAACAACGAGTAAATGTGAAGTTAATATGCATGGTCGGAAGACAGAAATGGGAAAGAATGGCAGCAATACAAATAGAATACGAGTAAATAGTGAATGCTTGCTGTAAATAGTATTATTATTTTCGTTTCGTACTATCTCAGTGATTTTAGCATAACATTATCATTTAAAAAACCGGTTACCGATACGACTGAACTGCACTGAAGATGGAGTAAGCGTTCAGTTAGTCTCAAGGTCATTGAGCGCTAGTCAAACCTCAGTGGCAGCGAAAGTGGGAGACCTTGAAGCATACTTTTAACCAATCAGACACGGGAAGAAGAAGAGACAGTTCTATTCCCGTCCCAGATCTAAAAAAAACTCAACAAAAAGCCACAAAATTCGCATATTTCTGAGACTTTTCCCAAAGCTTCCCCAAAATCTTAACACACTTTGGGCAAATGCTTTTAATCGGTACAAAAACCGAGATTTACACCTATTTTCTGGCTTTCCCCTAAATTTTCCCTGGTCCATTACCTATAAATACAATTTTTAGGCTTCACGAAACCTGTGAATTTTCTTCACAAAATGCGTGTATTTGGATGTATGCATGAATCTTTACCCCGAGCATTTCATATTCGACGCTGACAACCAGTACAGAATCAAGGTTACTACGTAATTAATATAATTTGCATCCGAACCGATTCGGTGTGAGATATAGACTTTTTGATATCTGCACGTAATCTGGAGGATTGTGACAGAGTGCTCGTAATGTAAATCAAAAGCTTTCAAATAATTGATTACATCCGGCTGTAGCTACTACATTGACGTGTTTGTCGGCCTTGCCTATCTTCATGACCCAGCCGAGCTATACTGGCTGGAACATATGTTCCTGAAGGTTCTAACATGCCAGGCAGGTTGATTGGAGGACGACGAGATTCAGAACAGCTACTCAAGGTCTGAGGACAAAGTTGTACTGCTGACTGCAGAGGGTTGTGACAGCATTAAGGTGCTTCTGTCGGACAACCAGCATCTGCAGCGATGTTACCTTCTCACAAGGAAGGAAGGGTTAAAAAAGGTCGACCCGGAAAATGTCACACCTTACCCATCAAAGCACACGAAACCAAATTGGTCACAATAAAATCATTTCTACACCTCGTAATAACTCTATTATCTCCTCGACCAACCTTCTTTCGATCGTTCATCACCTTACGCCACTGAAGCGAACGGTATGGGTTCACGAAACATTATTCCTGGTCTCTTGAAACCACGTACTAAATTACATATTAAAGCTCTTAATGTTCGGACCCTATGCCAAATAAGGCAACAGGCTTCACTAGCTAGAACTCTGGAATCCCAGGCGATCGATGCATGTTGTGTCTCCGAAACGCGCATGCAAGATCCGAGTAAAATCATCAATTTGATCTCACCTAGTGCGGATAAAGGCACAACAAGTTTTACGCTTCGTGTCTCTGGAAGTCCTGATGCCGCTCCTCGTGGCCTCGCCGGCGTAGGTATAGTATTAAGTCCTAGGGCAGAACAAGCTCTCGTGAATAGCAGACTAGAAAAAAAACCAGGATGGTTTCACACCCGGACGTGGCTGTATAGGTCACATTTTCACACTACGACCGGTCTTGGAACAAGGATACACATTTAGGCGTCCGACAATAGTTGCTTTCCTGGACCTTAAGGTGGAATTTGACTCAGTGGATCGTGAGTTTCTGTGGTAGTGTCTGTCATTGAAAGTTGTACCAAAGGAGTACATTAACCTTATACAAGCTCTCTACTCGAACACCACTGGTCGGGTTAGAGCTTATGGCGAACTGACACCAGAATCCTCTACTTCAAGTGGTGTCCGTCATGGATGTCCACTCTCCCCATTCTTGTTCAATTTTGTCATAGACATACTGCTAGATATAACATTATCTCCATTTGAATTTTCAGGAGTAGAACTTCTACCAGGAGGCTCGCTTATTGATCTAGAATATGCCGATGACATAGTTCTATTGGGTGAAGACGCTAACAAAATGCAGAGTCTTCTGACTACCCTGAGCAACAATGCAAGCATGTTCGGGATGCGATTCCCCCCGTCGAAATGCAAAATGTATCGGTACCTGAACTAGTGATAAGGAGTGAAGCAGTTGAGTGTGTTGACCGCTTCACTTATCTGGGGAGTCTCATCACTGCCAATGGCCTGGTGAATGACGAAATCTCAGCACGGATACAGAAGGCTCGATTGGCTTTTGCCAACCTGCGTCACTTATGGCGTAGGCGAGATATCCGTTTGCTGACTAAAGGACGAGTGTACTGTGCAGTAGTTCGCTCCGTTCTACTTTATGGCTGTGAAACACGGCCAGTGAGAGTAGATATTCATAGGTTGCTGGTTTTCGATCATAGGTGTATCTGCAGCATTGTTCGTATATCCTGGGACATTCGAGTAAGCAATGTTGTTATTAGGAAACGGGTGCTAGGTAAGGGTGGCAGGTCAATAGATGAAGTAATGATACTTCATCAGTTGAGGTGGTTGGGACATGTATTACGTATTCCGAAACACCGACTGCCTCTTCGTGCTATGCTTTGTGATGTAAGAACAGATTGGAAGAAAGGTAGGGGCGGCCAAACCAAAACATGGCAGAAATCCATGAAGTCACTGACAAATGGATTGAGTCATATCGGTAGGTGTCGGCCACCTGGTTGGGGTCCGCGAGATGATAGTAATCAATGGTTAGAGACCCTGAATGACATGGCTCAAAATCGTTTGCAATGGCGCGGGTGCATTTACTTTTTGTGTTTTATGAAATTCTAAATTCCTCATCACCTCTATCTTTCTCTTTCTAAATTACCTCACTAAATCATACTTCTTGAATAACTTCTTCCAACCCTAACCTCTCCGATTACTTCTAATACTTTTACTACTTCTACTACTATGGGATTTGAATTGACAATTATACTTCTGAGCTAATGTGGTGTGGTAACTAGAACTGATGTACTTACACGCAATGTTCTACGTCGCTGTTGATGATTAGAACCTTCGGATGGTTGGCTACCGAGACTATTTAAATTGATAAACACAGCAATTTTTAATATTTTTGATAAACCAAAGCAACTCTCAAGAAATCGATAAGAACATGATTTGTTTTCTCAAGAAAAGTACCAATAAACAATTCGACGTAAATTTACGAGTAGACACTTTAGGGATATTCCAAATTCAGAGCAACAAATCAGATTTCTCAATACTTTCCTAAGACATGCCATGGGAAAAAATGGGCGTTCCCCCTTATTTTCTGATGCAACGTCCCCTTTATAGTTTGCTTGGGTAAAAATCACGACACCCATATAATTTCAGCAGTACTGGTGAATTTCTTTTTATAACTTAAAGCCTACTAAAATATCATTTCAAAGAACTATCTACATAAGTAAATAATATTACTTCTACCAGCGGTGTACAAAGATGGATGAATAATTGACTACTAAGGTTGACCAACAAAACATCTTTTGTGGGCGAAAGCGTAGATTTATTTAATTTGTGGCCTTATTAAAACTTATGTACTCGGAAACTATTTCAAACTACAGTGAACGTAATTTGATAATATTGATGTCAACTGTTGGATGGTAGGTAGTACAACTGATATTTACTTAGTTTGCAGGTTTATAAATAACTTGTTTGGATCTCCTTTTTAATCGTCGCTCACTGGTGTCTAAGCGGTTAAAACCACCCACACAAATGTAAAGCTACTCAACTAACCTACGATTAAGATACCGTAACTCTCAATTCGAATATCTCTTTTTATGCTAACAGATATTGATAAATTCAGTAGTGCAGGATGGAAGAAAAATGTTAGCTCTAACATTTATATCCTGCTAGGTTTGATCAAACAGTTCTAATGTATCTTGGTAGAAAGCGGTTCTTTAAGCTGATAGTAAACTAAAAGTACGGAAGTTGCACATTAAAACTGGAAAGTCAGAGAATGAAAATTTAGCTTTATTGATCTATAATACAAATTAAGGGCACAGAGAAATAGTAGATCATTATAAATCTGGTTGATAAACGGCTAGATTAACATCTTGATCAATCATCAGACCAATCATCATTACGTTTGGAACCTTTCTTGTTCTTTCGCCTGGATTTAGTTTTGTCTTTCTTCACGACAGAAGATGAAGCTTCAGATGACTCAGTTACCTGATTGATATTCGATTCGACTGGAGCAACTTCAGCTGGAACATTTTTTACAACTTTTTTCTCAACTTCCGTGTTTACTGTCAAAGTAGAGTCTAACTTTGTACGTCCTTTGAGACTGAATTTCGTACCATCGGCAATTTCTATGCAATATTTACCTTTTATTTCGTTGTGCAGTAGTGTTTCAATCGAGCCATATTTTTCAGGTTCAACAACAGCAGTCTTAAAAGTAAAACATAGACAATGTTTGGATACGGCAAAACATACGCCATATATACTAACATCACATAAAAATTCAAGTTGAATGTATGTGCTTTTTTGAAAATGGACTTGATATATGTAGTTCGAGTTATACACAATCCAGGACCGGGTTCACATGTGCGTTGCTTCAAGTCGACACACTTTACATCCCTACACCTAATCGACAGAATGCCAACAGCAATGGTAGGCCCCCAGGTATGGCCAAACAACATTTCATATTAATTCTGCGATTAGTTATTCCATTAAGGTGACTGAATGCATGCTAATTAGTGCAATGAATTACAATAACAACTGTTACATCGTACATATTTTCCTCTCTTAAAAATAATTCATACAGTTGTATATTTATCATTACTTATCATTATTTTTTATTAGAACGACAATAAGCTTCCTGAATTTCCTTTTTCTCACCAATTTTGAAGGAAGTGAGCAGGTTAAATTTGGAGTTATCAAAAATAGTCGTAAATTTTGTTGTGTAATTTAGTCATGTTTTCGAGAGTTCACATAACAACTATATAACCTATGTATTTATATCTGTCACATAACAGAGGATACAACAGATCAACGCTTGGAGTAACTTCTAGAATTAACACACCATCAGTAGCAAGCAGGATTTGCACTTACTAATTTTATACACCAAACGACCTTGAGAACGATAATGGTCTTCACAGAAGTCGTGAACCGATCATTGTCAGACCACCATTAGAAACCTGAAATCACTGAACGGCTGTTTCGTCTTAGTACGGAGTGATTGAAGTTAGACATCAAAACCATTGGATGCCGGCTAAGTGGTCTAGAGCACTGTTGGTAAGTCCCATAATAAGACAAAACAGCTGTTCAATACTTCCAGGTTTCTAATAGTGGTCTAACATTGGTCGACTCATACTTTCAATCAAACTCAACAATTTACAGAAGTCTATAATGAAACTAACGATCTTGTCGGCTTCGGAGTGACAGCATATTTCACATGATTTTCAGGTGAATTACGTCACTTACTGCAATTTTGTCAGTTGTTTAACGATATACTGGCTCTGTGTCTAAGAACGTGCCACAAGCATGTGCTCTAGGTTAGCCTTCAACGTCAGTATACAGGTATAGATGCTGCTGATCGTAAAACAAGCGAAACGAAATTCCAATTACGCGACTGAAGTAATCAAGTTACATGTCCATTTGAAGTGAATAATCGGCTATCATGACAATACGTACTAAATTACAAAGGCTTTACTTATAAGTTCGAAATGGTCATAGCTCTTTCATACCAAACCAATAGTGCCACTTCTAAACAACACAGAAACGTAAATGTATAGTCATATAAATTAAAAATTAAGGACCCAGTGTCAGTATTAAATTAACCGATTAAGTCCTTTGAGGAAAGTACATAAAAACTAACCAAGTCATACAGCCCGTCGGGAGAATCACCCTGTCGTATAATATCACTGCATAATTTCAAGAGCCTTTCGATTACAGGTTCACATGAATCTTTTTGTATGGTAATGTTTACTTCCATCATCGAAGGAGCAATTTTAAACCCAGGCGTAGATCGTAACTGCTTGATTACCTCTAAAGCCTGAAGCGATTCGAATTGTTACTTGACTTACATGCTGTTTAGCACTTTTATTGGCCTTAAGAGAAATGTGACAATCTTTCATCATTTTCTCTATCATCGTAACAGTGTATGCGCGGTTGTTTTCGGGGTTAACACATCGTTCGGACACTATTTTAGCCACGTCTCGGAACAAAGCCTGCTGTCCTACAAGGCGTTCCTTTTCAGTTAATTGTAATTCTCCATGTTCTAGTATCTAAAAACCTGTTACACTAAAGCAACAGCCTACTGTTTTTATTATTTGACTTTCATCTTCTGTGCGAAAATGAACATACATTTCCTTTTTGTTGGCAAACTGACCTTTCGAGACATTTGTGAAGACACAATTAGCCTGCAAAACTTCATCTAAATTAGTTTCACTGTAACATAAACTAATAGTCAACGACGTACAGTTTGTCTCTCCATGCTTGTACTTTATTCGGGTAACATGCTAACTCATAACGATTACCTCCTTTTTTGAGGCGTACTACAGACACGTTAGTCAACCTTTTTTGGTTAGTCGGAGTAAAGAGAGCCATTAAATAAAACCCACACGATATTACAGTAACGATGTCTACAATCCGTCCGCGCTAAAGAAATTGATCATTAGACTAAGTCTACCTACTTGTTATGGTCTTTCATATATTACTAGACGAAATATGAGAAGCTTTTGTTTTATGGCCCTCCTTGTTTAGGTTTTTTGAGTCTCTGACTCCTTGTAGCGGCATCAACTACTCTGTACAGAATTAGAAAGCTGTTATGTTTATTGGGTTCTGCGTCAGAGTGAATGTGAAGTGTTCTCATTGATGTTTGGGTATAATTACTGTAAGATCCTGTCCTTAAAATAAATTCTAAAGCAATCCAGTCATTTAAAAATTGACTGACATGTTATTGTTACAGCAACCACCCCTTCGTGCTTACATAACTAAAGTAATCAGTTTCACTTTGGAGTTGAGCGGAAGCCGAGAAACATGTTTTAGTTGATCCCCCGCTCGGTTCAACTTCCTCATGAATGTGCCAACAGACGAAAATCGAATAACTGCTGAGGAAACGAACTCCATTTGTTGGAGATTCGATAGAAATATTTACATTTAGTGAGGAAAAAATATGTTCTGGGTATGTGAACCTGGTAAATTATCTGTCAAGGAAGACGGGAAAAATGGGGGTATTGCAGATGCGAATTTCCTCTAGATAATGTGAAAGCTGTGGTTACGTCACCTCTCGTCTTTCTGCATGACAAACAAAACAGGTTTGACTTAAACAGTCTCTCTGCATTTGATATCTTTGGTAGTACATGAGTCAGATTCGTCGCGCTTGTTTGAACTTTTTCAGATATTTCACTGTCATTTTCAGCAGTTTCCGACAGCTTATATGCAGTACTCAAGTTTAGGAAATACGAACTCTGTATACAGAGGTTATAACGTATAAGGTCTACACGGCTATTTGTTCTGCGAAATGACTATGTCACGAATATACAGAGTTTGACAACGATTTTGTCCATAACACCTTTCAGATCGACACAGCCCAAAGTCAAATAAAACCACAATCCGGAAATGAGGAAGAAGTAAAGTAAATTGAAAGACGGTTGGTAAGTCCATGTGTGAGTGAATGAAGCTTGCTGGTTTATGAGAGTAAATGTGTTGCACACCGTACAGAAAGTTGATTTGGTCACCATCCATGTAGAAAGCCTTTAGCTACAGTGTTTCCAGAAGAACCAAGAAGGTCAGTATTGATGTAACTATAAGTCGCTAAAGGACTCGGAAAACTTTAGTGACTAAAACTTGACTGTGTGAAATAGTTTTTAAGTCTTGCATAATGATTAGCATGAGATCAGGTAATCTCGATGCACTGAGAGCATTTATGGACAACTTCCAAATCGTTGGTTATTTCGATTGTCTCTGCAAGTGATGTTGAGGCTTCAAACTATCACATTCGTGTTGATCGCTCATCATATCTTGATATTATCAGCATAAAATAAAAACCACAGAGACAATAGAATAAGATGGCCATTTACAGGTGAAACATTAGTAGCTGAAAAACTGTACAATTAGCCATATAACTAAGCACAGTTTCACATCTAGACAACATGCGAATAGCTCACCAGTCAGTCTGTGGTGGTTGGGCAAACGTGACATATGTTCAAACTGCCTGAACTAACGAATTTTCACTACTTCATCACTTGATCTGCTATGTTAACCTAGCATCCTTTTCTTAACACCAGAATTATTTACTCGATTGTCCAAGATATACCAGCAATGCTCCGAAAACACGTATGGTTAAATACTGTTGACCCATGAACATTCTTGCTTCTTACTAGCCGTGTTTCACACCCTTAAAATAAAACGGCACGAACTGGTGATTAGTAAACTCATCCTTTAATTAATAGACGTATATGTTGCCTACGCCATAAATGACACCAGTTGGTAAGGGTTAGTCGAGCCTTCTGTATCCATACTGAGATTTCATCAGACACTGAGCCATCATTACTGATGAGACTCTTGATATGAGTGAAGCACTACTTCACTCTTTGTCACTGATTCAGGAGCCAACACAAGGCAATCCTGAAGCAACAATTTGCATTTTTAAAGACGGAGTCACACCTTAAGCATGCTAGCATTGTTGCTCGGGACGGTCAGAAAACTGCATTCTGTTAACATATTCACCAAATAGAACTACGCCATCCGCATATTATAAGTCAACAAACAAACTTCCTGGTAGACGATCAGCCCCTAAGAAGTCAACTGATGAAAGTGGCAACTCTATAGGCATACTGATTACTTTGGGGAAAGCGTACAACTGATAAGTATCACTCAAAGTTATCAGTACTGATGAAAGTTAGTCGTAAGCTCTCACTTTATCAATAGTATTAGACGATTCCACAGAACATCATGATCAGTATAGTTCAAATCCGCCTTAAGGTCAAGAGATAAAACCATTGCCAGATCTTTGTTACTTAACACAAATACAAAACCAACCAAAAAGGAAATAACTACGTATGTATATAGGGGAAAAACTTGTCTAAAAATGAAGTGGAGTGCTTTTTAATAAGATAAGAATGCAAGTTTTTACCTACGTTAGCTCTTATAACCTGTTGGTCGAATGGCACGTTTTCTAAATAAGGTGTTGTAGAGCTTTTATACGTTTATCTGTGTGCGTGGACTCGAGTGTATTGTGCTCTTGTAGTACCAGAAGATATGCAAAGAGAAAGATATGTATAAATTGGTTGGTCACCGCCAGATATGAAAACGGATGTCAGGAGTTTACGAAATTCTAGGTCTGACAGCAGGATGTCAAAATATTCAGCACAAACCCTAATAACTTCCGACACCACTATGAGAGACCAGAGGAAAAATTACACTGAGATAAAATAAGTTTGAGGCTGTTGCTAGTTAGGAATTTGAAATTATATAAACTTTATAGGGTTCCAGCAGGGAGTTTAAATCCAGTAATTCTGAAACTATCAGTTTGAAAGTCAGATGGATTTATTATGAAACAATTAAGAACAGACCATGGTTAATTGTAGAAAAAGAACTCAGTCATTTTTAGGAAATGTGTAGAGGCAGATATCATTGTACAGCAAGGTCATATCCATACTCAATAAAAGTGTTTTCTGTAGAACATGGCTCACTATACGGAAAAATTACAAGGAATATCATGATAAAGATTAGCCGTTTTTGGCGCGTATGCTGTTAGTAAAGACTTTCATAACTTTTATCCAAATACAGTTTACTGTTCTATCACGGAGAGGTAAGAACACAGCCTGTTTGTTAACCAGATCTCAGTACTGTTTTTGGCAAACTTTTTTAGTAGTTGAGCCAAAGGCAAAAATGATCTTTAAACATACTTCGTATCCTTTTCCAAGCTGAACGCTGCACCATGATGTGGAGTAATAGCAGTAACTGAAGTACTTTTACCGCGTACGTTAGCAAAGTGATAAGAACCAGTATCTTCCTTTGATGCGGATTGAATTAGGATAAGGAATTGCGTTCCAATCGATTTGAGAAAAAGGTAGGTTATTAACTTAACTCCATCTGAAAAGCCTTCAGGGCTACTGGCGGCCCCAAGCCCGAATAAAGGAGGAGGGTCGGGTATGGGGTTGGCGACCCTATCACGGAAAAAATTAACTCTCTCAAAAAGCACGAGGCAGAGCAACCATTCTTTTAGGTACACGCAATGTTTGAACATCGTGAGAGACCGAAAGACTATTCCAAGGTGCTGCAGAAATAAAAACGTACAAGCAGGAGGTGCTCGGCATCAGTAAAACGCATTGGACACAGATAGGACAACTGAGACTAGCTTCAGAGGAACTAATGTTATACTCTGGTCATGAAGAGGAAAATGCTTCACATACACAAGGAGTTGCACTGATGCTGTCCGAACAAGCACAAAAGGCACTGAGAAGATGGGAATCTCAGGGAACCAGGATCACTGAAGTATACTTTAAAACAAAGAAAGAGGACATTACAATGAACGTCATCCAATGCTATGCACCTACCAACAACAACAATGACGACGATAAAGATCAATCCTAAGAAAGGCTGCAGTCAATAATCAACAGATGCTCACCAAAGGATTTGACGATTTTAATGGGAGACCTAAATGCCAAGGTTAATATGGACAACATTGGATATGAAGACATCATAGGACGACATGGCCTAGGAGAGAGGAACTAGAACGGTGAGAGATTTGCAAACCTATGTGCCTTCAACAAACTGGTCATCGGCGGCAAAATATTCCCACACAAGCGCATACACAAAGCTACATGGATTTCACCGAATCACACTACTCAGAACCATGCCGACCATATCTGTATCAATAAAAAGTTCGGAAGAACCATGGAGGATGTGAGAACCAAGAAGGGAGCTGACATAGACTCAGATAAGAACTTGCTGATCGTCAAAATGAAACTGAAACTAAAGAAGCACTGGACAACGGGACAGACAACATCACAGAAGTTTAATACAGCCTTTCTTCGGGATACCGTGAAACTCAACGGATTCAGGATGGCTCTCAGCAATAGGTTCCAGGCCTTGCAGGATCTACTCAATGGAGAGGAAAAACCTTTGAGAACAATTGGAAAAAGATCAAAGAGTCAATCGCTTCAACGTGTCAGGAGCTTCTATGTCACAAGAAGTACTATCACAAGGATTTGATCTCTGCTGGTACTCTTTCGAAAATTGAAGAAAGGAGGAACAAGAGGTCAGTAATCAATGTCAGCCGAACAAGAGCAGAGAAAGTTAAGATGCAAGCTGAATACACAGAAGTAAACAAGAAAGTGAAGTAGAGCATGAGAGCCGAAAAACTGAAATATGTGGAAGATCCAGCAACTATGGCGGAAAGTGCAATCTAGGTTTCGACACCAGAGTGGGACGTTAAACATTCCCGAAGATGTAAAACGTGTCACGTAAAGAAACAATCAAGATAAACGTTATCATTCCATGTCGGAACCACTGTGCAGTAGGTTAAGTTGTCTTCATCAACACCTCTGTTCCTAGTTGCTTCGACAGCCTACGTACATTCTTTCACTCACAAACATAGA